CAGGGAAACAAGTAAATGAAAGACAAGATATGGAAAGACTGATTTGTTTTTAATTGTTATTCTATTTTTTCTGTTTTTTGTATTTTCTTTTTTCTTTTTCTTACTTTTCCTGTATTTGAAACTTTAATAAATATTATCTTAAAAAAAAAAAGGCCAGTTGCTATATCCCTTGGCCTAACCTACTGTTGTGTGGAAAGCCGCTTTGTTGTTGTTGTTTAGTCGTTTAGTCATGTCCGACTCTTCGTGACCCCATGGACCAGAGCACGCCAGGCACTTCTGTCTTCCACTGCCTCCCGCAGTTTGGTCAAACTCATGCTGGTAGCTTTGAGAACACTATCCAACCATCTCGTCCCCTGTCGTCCCCTTCTCCTTGTGCCCTCCTTCTTTCCCAACATCAGGGTCTTTTCCAGGGAGTCTTCTCTTCTCATGGATAGCTTTACTCTCCTCCAATCCTCTTTTCAAGACATCAATGGGCTTATCCACTCTTATCTTTTGCCCAGCTCTTTCCAGGAGCTGGTCCATGCTGTAAAGCTCTGTGTCTGAGTGCTGTTTTTGTTTTTGCTCCTTTGCCTGCTTTCCCTGTGAAAACCTGCTCTTTAAAGCTGAAGCACAACAAATGGCAATTCAGGTTTTGTGTGGATTGCCCTTTGCTCTGATTCAGCATTAAAGAGCAGGTTTTCGCTGTGTGAAGAAGAACTTCACGAATCTTCCAGCATTTAGCTTCATTAGATGTCCAGTGTTATGAAAGTGAGAGAGTTTTTTTCTATCCAATTTCTCCATTACATGCCTAATTTAATAAACTTCTGTCATGTCACTTCTTAGACATAAGAACATGAGAAGAGTCCTGCTGGATCAAGACAATGGAAATGAGTTGCAAAAATTAACTATGCTTTGCTTTTCAGGGACAAAGAGAAAAGAAAAAGAAAAAAAGCAATGGGTCTGGATCACATGTTGACAACGTAGGAAAAACAAATAGTCTCCACTGATTCTGGAATAAATGTTGTGTATACATAGCCTCCAATCAGATGAAAAGGCCAACTCTGAAGCAATATTGGGGGGGGGGGATTTCCTAATAGCTGTTCGACCATGGAATGGACGCCCTCGGAAAGTGGTAGACCTTCCTTCTGTGGAGGTTTTTCACCTAACGTTCGGGATTCTTTAATTGTGATTCCTGCATCATTGCAGTTGGCCGGACTAGATTCTATTATCTGTGCCTTGGAATTTTCATAATAGTAATTTGCTCATAAGCAGGGGAAATGGCCGCAAAGGACAAGGAGGAATTTTGCAGGCCCACCAAGCAGCGCCGAGAGCAGAGAGCAGATGCAACTCATCACACTAATCAGCTTTTCCTTCCCAGAGAGGTTGCTCTATTGAGAAAGAGATGTGGGGAGGGATCACTCTGGTCTCTCATGGCAACCCTGAGATGGGGATGAGAGGGTGGTGATGGGGTTGGGGTTGGGAGAGAAACTGGGCTTTGATTTAATTTCCCCCCCATGTGCCTTTCACAGGCCTCGAATGAGCAAACAAAAGCCCCCTGGGAAAAGGGGTTGCTCATTTTTCTATTCCCCCTACCAACTCCTTTTCTTTCTCATTTTTTAAAAGAAGAGGGGAAAAATAGGGTTAGAGCAAGATGGATGGTCCTCCCGGCCAATAGGAGGAAGAGCTCAGCCATCCCGGCTGTTAGCCCATTAGAGGACATGGATGATGGATGGCCCTAAACGGCGATGATCACCAGCCTCGGAAAGATGCATTCTTTTGTCAGACTTAAATCTGCAGCCTGGATTTGTCCCCAAACTAAAGCTGGTTCTCCTCAGAGCAGGACAAATTCAAGGGCTGACTTAAATCCATTGATTTCAATGGGGCAGCTTTAAGTAGGGCTGACATCAGGTTGCGTTCAAGCAAGTTTTACTCAAAGTAGACCCATTGGGATTAACAGGCTGAAATTACTCCTGTTTGTGGATGTTTCAGTGTGTCCCTTTTGAACAGGACCAGCACTGAAGGCAACTCACTGGATGCAATGAATATTACTATATTTTTTATTTATATGCACTATTTACTGTATCATACTTTTTTATATTATTGTACTTGTTTTAAAGAAATAAGGCTTGCTTCCAAAGCATTTGTTGTTTAAACTTTTTTTATTATCTTATGTGTAAATTGCCTTGAGACAGTGGTTTGAAAGATAATTAATAAATTAATTGTAGCAACAACAACAACAACAACAACACAACCCCTTGCATTCTAATTTTTTGTTTCTTGGGTAAGTTAGCTTCCCTTCCCCCACTCAACCATTCTAAATATTATTTATTTAGCTTCCTTTCATTTAATTTGTACATCCCACTGTCTTTTCCAAGGAGATCAAGAGGGTGTACGTTGTTTCCCTGCTCCTCTCATTCAATCCCCACAACAACCCTGTGATGTAGGTTAGGCTGAGAGGCAGTGAATGGCCCCCAAGGTCACAAACAGTGAGCTTCATGTGGCCCAGCTGCAGGGATTTGAACCCTGGTCTCTCTCAGGTCCTACGAGTCTGACACTCTACCCACTACACCACCCTGAATTTCCCAGTGGTTGATGTTTAGAGGATGACCTCAACTGCCCTTGTTATAGGGGAGACTGACCTCTTATGAGTGCTGTGTCAAGTGCTTGGGACGCCACTGAAATTTGTGCACCGCAACAACATATAGGCATGCGCACTGTTGTTCAGGGCTGGATTTCCTCTTTCATTTTATTGCATGTCACATTTTAAAAACTTAATAGTACGGTGATGTGTGCGTGTGTTTTGGGGGTCAATCGCACAGCGCCTGCACCATCTCTGAACAGATTCACCCATATGGCTCTGAAACAGTGTGCAGAGCCAAAGGGTTGGCCACTCCATTCCCCACTGAAAATCTCCCCTTTGGAGGAGGCTCCCTGATGAGCTGGGCACGCCTGGGTCTTTTTGGTGATGGGGGTGGGGTGGGGTCTCTATTCTCCTTCTCCCCCATCAACCCGTTGACCTGCCTTTGACCTGTGAGTGCTTCTGTAATGGCATTGACTTCTATCCATAATGTAGCAGGGGCAAGAAGGAAGAAAAATGGTGGTGTGTGTGTGTGTGTGTGTGGAAATTAAAGAGGGAGGGCGCTGCTGTGTCCCCTGCCAAAGGGGGATTTGAACAGGCCCACCATCCTTAACAACTTGGGACCCACGAGATTGCTTTACCCCATATATGCCTGCTTGACCTCCTCAATTGGCAGAACTGGCACTACTGGTGCCACATAAAACCTGTTCCACATTTGTAAGAAATAAGTCTGCACTCTTCTCACTTCCTACAAGGCACCTCAAAGTGATTTGCAATCTAATTGCATACAGTATTTGGTTTTGGGTTTTTTGGGGGGGGGCAGTTTTGGTACTACTTAACTATAACCACCTCTAGAGACGGTATGCAAGAAAATCAATATACGATGAAAATAAAAAATGGGTTAAAATAATAAAGATTTGAATTAAGTTAAAATGCCTGCTGGGTGACCACACTGGGTCTAGTGGGGCTTCCTCCCAGGTAAGCACGTGTGGCATTGCAGCCTTAATTGTTAAAGCAGATTGGACCTACTCGTCTCCTACCTTATTATCTGGCATGTACTCATGATATCCTGCAGTGCCAGCTTATCACCATTCTATTTCCCATCAGACAACAAGAGACTTTAAGTCTAGGGCCTACTGAGAGCCAGTGTGGTGTAGTGGTTAAGAGCGGTGGACTCGTAATCTGGTGACCTGGGTTTGCGTCTCTGCTCCTCCACATGCAGCTGCTGGGCGACCTTGGGCTAGTCACACTTCTCTGAAGTCTCTCGGCCCCACTCACCTCACAGAGTGTTTGTTGTGGGGGAGGAAGGGAAAGGAGAATGTTAGCCGCTTTGAGACTCCTTCGGGTAGTGATAAAGCGGAATATCAAATCCAGACTCTTCTTCTACTGTGGCGATCACACAGGGTTCCCGGACGTTTCACCGTCTATTGATCCCTGTGCCACCACTTTATTTCTCGCTGCCACCACCCAGGCCCTACCTGGTACAATACTGAGTTCAGTCAGGGTTAAGTTGGAACATAACTTCTGTTTATTTATTGCAGTTTAACAAGCGTGTGGTTTCATAAACGGTATCGGTCAATTACAATCATGGGGTGCCTATCCAGACCTATAACTTCCGCTACCTGTTCTCACTCACTAAACCACCTCTCAGATATTTACTTGTCTTCCTAGCTCCTAACTGTTCCTGACTCAGCTTATTTCGCTACACTAACTCAACCTACCCACAGACTCTATCCCAATTCACTCCCACTCCAACCAACCATCCAACTCCCAACAAACTCCCCCTTTGCCCCTCCCAGAGCTGGTTTTATAGTCCCTCTGACTCCATCCCCCTGGGTTCTGATTGGGTAACCTGTTTAACTATTTCACCTCCAGCACTCTCATATGTTCATGTCATATCCACGAGCTCGATTTTCAAGTCCCCCCCCTCCCCAAAGTCATTAAGACTTTGGCCTTGATCAGTCCCTCCATCGTAAAAGACCCAATCTAAATTGAAAATCAAAACCATTTGGGACTGAGTAGAGGCTTGGAGCCACATCTAAACTTTTAAAATTCATCATTTCACCAGCTGAGACTTTGATAGCACAACCACCCTCCCCACTCCAAGAGAATCTCCAAAGCCAAATGATATTTTACATACAGTGTGAATGTGGTAAAAGATGTGGAGCACAGTCAGCTCACAGGAACAGGCAGATGGAGGTGGTGGAAGAGAAAATTCACTGCTCTCTTTAAATAGATGCAGGCTTTCACAGCACCCAGACATGGTTTCCTGAAAACTGGGTGCGTTGTGATGAGACTTTGCTGGATTGCATCAAATCTGGTCATTAGAAAATCAGGAAACACTCTTCTTTTGTTTTCCTTTGGTGTCCTCTGCTCTGGTGCACTATTGGGCCACCAAGAATCTCTCTCTCTCTCTCTCTCTCTCTCTCTCTCTCTCTTTCAGGAAGGTGATGGATGGTTGGTGAAGGGCCCTGAGTGAGAGGCAGGGAAGGGAAGACCTCCCAGAATGAGAGACCTGGAAAAGAAAGGGAAGTCCCAGGTGAAAGAGGACTCTGTGCTTTCATTTCTCTTTCTCTCTCAGTTTTCATTTTTGTTCAGATTAGTTTCTTTTATCTTCTTGTATCATGAAAATGCTTTAATAAAACCTTATTTTAAAAAAGAAAGGAAATAAGCAAACAAGGAAAAGAGGCGTAGTGACGGTTTATTTGTTGGTTGCTTTTTGCATTTATATCCTACTTTTTCCTCCCAGGAGGTTAAGGTGGCACACATGATTCTCCCCTTCCTCATTCAATCCCCACAAGAAAAAGTCTCAAAGTGGCTCCACAATATGAAATTAATTTATTTAATAAAATTTATGCACCGCTTGATTGTAAAAACAAAAAACCTCAAAGCAATATATAAACAAGATAATAAAATTGTCAGTAAGAAGAACCACCAACAATACTTTTCATTGCTATTCTTAGCAGTCTCCTACTACTGATGGTTTTATTGTATACCTTTGTAATACTTCTGTTGCTGTTTTTTTTAAATTTGCTATACACTGTTTAGAGATGCTTTATATTTTAAGTGGTGTAAAAACGATCTTAAATAGTAAATAAAACTTTTCTTTCTCCTCTCTGCCGGAAAGGATATGATTTCAGACACAGGTGTGTGTGCATGTGTGTATGTCTGGGGTTCCTGTTTAGGGGGAGGGGGAAATTAATATCCCATTTTTATTATTATTAATGGCAAGCGTATCTTGAGAGATTGTCTATTAAGCCTCAGAAAGCAGGTATCTCAGAAAACCTCCACCTGCATTGATGCTGAAATTCAATCCAAGTGCAGGACACTTGAATGGGTGTAGAATTTCTCTTCTTGAGAATTGTGGCTTTTGCTGTTTCTTTTTAATGCAAGTTTCTCTCTCTTAAGATGGAGAAGGTGTGCATGAAAGTGTGCCCATGCATTAGGGGAGGGGGCAAAGTGTGGTGAAACTTCTGCAGCTCCTTGTCCCCCTCCCATTAGCAGCTTAGCTCATAGGTAGCCCAGGTGGTACCTACCAGTTGTGGTTAGACCATGACACCACCCATGGTTGTTGGTTGAAATCAGAGCAGGAGTTAGGATTTTCTGTTATGGAATCAGGGACTCCCAGGTTCCTTGCTCTACTTGTGTCAGGTGAGAAAGTCCAGTTACCTGTTTGTTCAGGAAGGGTTCTACTCTACAGCATCCATTCAAAGGGGTTCTACTCTACAACACAGGTTGTAGAGCACAGGTTGCCTACCCCTAGGACCCAACCCATAATATTATTGACATAGGTCGATGATGAAAATGTAACCATAAGCACCTAAGAAGAGCCTGCTGGATCAGGCCCAAGGGGTCCATCTAATCCAGTGTCCTCACAGTGGCCAAAAAGATGCCCCAATGTGAAACCAGTAAGTAGAACCCAAGCATCAGAGCCCTCTCCTCTCCTGTGGTTTCCAACAACTGGTATTTAGAAGTTCTGCTGCCTCAAATTATAGAGGAAGAACACAGCCATTATGGCCAGTAGCCCTCATTAGTCCTCTTCTCCTCCACGAATGTGCCTAGTCCTCTTTTATAGCCATCTAGGTTGGTGGCCACCACTTGCCTCCTGAGGAAGGGAGTTCCATAGTTTAACTCTGTGCTGCATTTTATCTGTCCTGAATCTTCTAGCATTCTGCCGATTTCATTATTAAATAATGATTACAAAATATTTGCATTTGTTATGGCAAATAGAATGAAAAAAATCCTAAAAGAATTTATTCACCATGACCAAGCTGGATTCCTTCCAGGCAGACAAATCAAAGATAATATTAGAAATGTATTGAACATTATAGAGTTATTTGGAAGTGAGAAATGAGAAAAAAAGCAGCATTAATGTTCGGAGAAAGCATTTGATAAAGTTTCTTGGAGCTTCATTGAAAAAGGTGATGGAGGAGATAGGATTTGGAGAAAATTTTAATGGGGAATGCAAGCTGTTTACTCAGATCAAAATGCAAAAATAATTGTAAATCGGGTGATACAGTTAAATATAGTATACAAAAAGGAATGAGAGTCAGAGAAAAACTTCTCTCTATCCACTTCCTCACCTTTTTCTCCAAACTAAGAAGCCCCCCAATGCTGCAATCTTTCCTCATAGGGGAGTCACTCCACACACACACACACACACACAAACCTGGTTCATCTGGGTTGCTCTTTTCTGAACGGATACAACCCCAATTTCCCATTTCCATTCTCTTTTGTGCTGGCCCTCGTCTCCTCTGCCTACTGTCTCTTGTCACAGAAAGCAAGAGAACTGTTTCCAGGGGACCTTCCGGGGAGGGGGTCAGAGTCAATCAACGTTTGCAAAATGGTTTGATGGGCAGCTGAAAACTTTCTTGGTCAGCAAAACTGTACATGACGCCAGGCGACTTGTTTGTGCAGGTAATTCTTTAGCAAACAAGAGGTGGAGGCGGAGAGGCAGCTGAACCACATGCCACAATAAAGATGCCATTGAGGAGGGTTAGGAGGCAGACCCATACGGGACAGTGATTACCCGAGGAAATTATCCCATATAAGCACTGCTAAAATGAAACAGATATGACTTTAGCAGTGTACGCCTTGAATGGATAGAAATCTATAATGTGACTACATTTTGGAATGCGGTTCTGGTTATCTCACTTCCAAAAGGGTATTATAGGGTTGGGGTTCAGAAAAGGGCAGTAATATGGAAGGTTCAGAAAAGGGCAGCCAAACTGATCAAGGGGACAGAGTGACACCCCTGTGAATAAAAGTTGCAGCGTTTGGGACTTTTTAGTTTAGAGAAAAGTAAGGGGCGACATGATAGAGCTATGCCCAGGATAGAGAGAGTGGATAGAGAAAAGTTTTCCTCCCTTTCTCAAAACACCTAGAACTTGGAAGATTCATGACGGATGAAGAAAGCCTTCCTTCCCTTAAAACTATGGAACTCGCTCCCACGGGAGGCAGGGATGGCCACCAACCTGGATGGCTTTAAAAGAGGATTGGGCCAACTCATGGAGAAGGAAAGAGCTACTGATGGCTGCTAGCTATGCTCTGCCTCCACTGCAAGTAGTACAGTGGCAGTAATATGAATACCATTTGCTGGAAACTGCTGGAGGGGACAGTGCTCTTGTGCTCTGGTTTTGCTTGAGGGTTTCCCAGAGGCATCTGCACAGCCACTGTGAGGACAGGCTACTGGACTAGATGGGCCTGATCCAACACAGGTCTTGTTATGTTCTTCTGCAAGAGTTGCTCTGGTAATGGGGTGTACGTGTGCGTGAGTGAGTGCATGAGTATCCATCACTGCCAACTTTTGAAAATGCAACAGAGGACTTACTCCCCGCTCCCCCATCCTCTTCTGGAAATTCCTGCTCCTTGACCACAATGTTTGACCCAGCCAAGTAAAGGAAGTACATGACAGGATCTTGAGCATAACCAGACAGGATATTTTCAGATTCATTTTATGTTCTTGAACATATGCTAAAACAAACAAACAAAAAAATAATTAATCTGGCAACATTTTAAGGCTAAAGCAGGCTAAAGCTGCCATGGCTATCTCCATGCATCCAGCATCTGCTTAGCTCACTGGTAAATGGTACTACAGCTCTCACAAGGCCTCTTCGTCCTGAACTACGTTTTGCAAGGCTCATCTTAATTTGATTGCAAAGGAGGTGACTTCCCCAGAGCTCGGCTTATTCTAGGTTTGGGGTTGTTGTTTTTTTGCAGCTTATCCGAATGGCTGAGGAGGCTCGCAGTTAATCAAGATTTCAACAGTGGGAAGAAATTGTCATGACTCCCTGCAAAGAATTATGGGAAATCAGAAAGCTGGTGTAAACTATTTATCTCATTTATTTCAACCATTTGTATACTGTACTGCTTAGTTAAAGCAGACCAATTCTGCATTGCAGAGATGTCTGCAGACAAGACACGAAGGCTGGCAACATCAACCTGTGGAGAATCTCTTGCAGACAAACGAAAATATCTGGAGCAGGGGTCGGCAACCTTTTTCAGCTGTGGGCCAGTCCACAATCCCTCAGACCATGTGGTGGGCCAGAGTATATTTTGGAAAAAAATAATGAATGAATTCCTATGCCCCACAAATAACCCAGAGATGCATTTTAAATAAAACCACACATTCTACTCATGTAAAAACGCGCTGATTCCTGGACCGTCAACGGGCTGGATTGAGAAGGTGATTGGGCCGCATCTGGCCCCCGGGCCTTAGATTGCCTACCCCTGGTCTGGAGCATGGGTTGGCAAACTAAAGCCTGCCGGCCGGATCAGGCCCAATTGCCTTCTAGATCCGGCCCGTGGATGGTCCGGGAATCGCCGTGTGGATCACCAGTGGGTGGATCGCCAGTGCGCACGTTCTTTCCCTCTCCCTCACACGGCGGCGCTTTTCTTCTCAGTGACGGAACAATCTTGTCCTATATCGGGTGCTGTTGACAGTGGGAGTCAGCTTGCGGGTTGGCGGATGGCTCTGTCTTCTCCTCCATGGTGCCTCTCCATCCGTGGCTCCTCTGCCAGGGCTGCTGCTTCTGTCTTCTGCTGGCCAAGACAGCCTCCTACCCTGCCATGGCGCCTGGCTGGCTGAAGAAGCCCAACTGCAGCTATTAGTATGACAACTGGGACAGGTAAAGTGAAGCATCTTCAGGCCTCTTTGCAGGCGGGTGAAGATCATTCATTCCCCCCCCCCATATAGTCCGGCTCCCCACAAGGTCTGAAGGACAGTGGACCGGCCCCCTGCTGAAAATGTTTGCTGACCCCTGGTCAGTGGCGGAGCTTCATGCTCTGGCACTGGGGGGGGGGCAGAGAGCAGGTGGGGGCATGGCTGGTGTGCATCCTGAGAGCGTGGCGCACTGCCTGCGGGGGTGGGGCGCCCAGCACAGACGGGGGGACAGCCACGATGGCACCCCACCGGGATCGTGCTGCCGGGGGCGGTGCACTCCCCCCGCACTCCTCTTCCTCCGCCAGTGCCCCTGGTCT